GCGTGATGTGAATTTCTATCTACGCATACAAGGGTCAACCGACAACTGCCGTCTTGTAGTGAAGGTCAAAGTTTATCTATTGTATCAACCTCTAACCAGCTATACTAGCAAGGAGTTCTACGTTGAAAGCAGTCAGTCAGTTACTGTGACACAGTAATTGTTTGCACTACGGTGAGAATTTGAAATTGAATTTTTACGACTGATAAATAAAATGTAACATCAATCAAATATTTTCATTGAACGACCAACAAACTACCACTACCCTACCTTGGAGATGAAGAACTATAAAAAGGTAAGCTACAATAACTAGATATTGTACTTCAAGTGAACTATAGAGAAAGAAAGGATGCGGGTAGATGTGGACCAGGTTCACAGAAACTCTTCCCGAAGTCGGAAGGGCTACACACACTGTCATCCAGAGACGTGGTCCCGTTTATACCATCAAGAGAGCAAATAAACAGAAAGGGGTTAACATGAGTCAACTGCAGAAATGGATTCAGTGGGATAGGGAAGCCAGGACCAAGGCACAACAGGAAGCGGCAGAACTAAGAAGGTCGGAAAGGCTCCATTAGAAATTATCCGATAGGGGGACGAGTGTGGCGTGTGCTACTGATAAGATTTATCAGAGAAAGCAAATGACACAGCGTTGCCGAGAGATACATGGGAGACGTGAAAGGAACACAAAGAAACACAATATGAAGGAAGGCGAGAAGTAGCACGATATGGAAGATTTATGCAGATGGTGATTTAAAGATAAGCTATACATAATTTCGCTATATAGAGATACCAAACTGCAAATAAACATTCCTTTATCAAGTCTTCGTCTTCTACCGTCACAGTTCTACTGCATTTGAATAGTGTGGTTACATACTATCACCACACAACTAGCTGGATTATCAATCAATTCAACGAATAAATGAATATATATATATATGGTATCCGGGACCTGAATCAATTGATTGAACCTATATTTTATTGACAAGTTCGACAGTTAAACTTTCCTTACTTAGGTGAATACTCGAGAGAGAAAAAAAACAACAACAATCAATTCATCAGTTTTTAAACAACGCGAAAGGTTAACAGGATTTTCAATTCAAATACACCTAGTATAGTAAACAACATAACACACAGAGTAATCCGAAATTAACATGAGAATTTTTAGTGAATTAGAAACAGTGACACTAATCGAGGAATAACAAAAAAACAAATGAAATATGTTTATGTAGAAATTCAAGTGTAAATAAAGTGTGACTACACATGTGTACACTTCAGAGACTAATCTTAAGTGACTTGAATTAATGTATTTAACCTGGAATTTCAATTATCCTATAAACTTTAGTAAAATGAACCTACAGTTTCCTTCACACAAAATAAGTAGATGGAAGCTTTGATTTAGTGGATATTTTTGTCAGGAATCAATATCAGTTAAAGAATCACTGAAAACCAAGGAGTAATGGACAGTTGTTGTTCCGTTCCACTTTGGGAATTTTCATTGGATCCATGACTCTCCATCAAAGTTCTGGTTACGAGACCAGCTTGTTGGGTATTCAGCCACTTGAGCAAGTTATACAAAGACCAAAAAATTAGTGATACAGCACCAACACAACCAACCAGCAGTGCTAACCGATGTCAGCTCATGATGAAATCCTGTCATCAATCAATCAAATTCCTACAAAGCAATACTTTAACACTAGTGCTATCGCGTTGAGCATCCACCACACCTTGATATGGGATGGATCTCACTAACCACAACTTTCCATTAGCACTTCAGAACATTCATCTAGTAGCCATAATAATTACAGAAGTTAGAATTCACTTTGAATGATCAAAGAGCTGGTCTCGAAACCTTAGCGTCCTCGGTTTCGACATCTGCCTGATGGGGTTGTGGGTGAGCATTGTCGAAGAGTCCCAACCAAGAATAAGACAACTGTCCATTGCACCCAAGTTTTCAATGATTGTCTCATTTGAAATTGGTTCACGACAACATCTACATTTGAAATTAAAGCAAATCCCTACAAAACCCTTAAAATTAGAAGTTTTTATTCATTGTTGTTATCATTATATCTAGATCCAAACTACATATAAAAATCAATAAGGAAAAACACAGTTTTCTTCCCTTTCTACTAGCTGTACACTTGTCTTTACATTACAGGTAACAGCATTAAGCCGAACTAGAAAACTGTTCAGTCAATATACATACATACGATAAGAATGAAGATGATCAAAATGATTTTTAAGGAAAGTAGAGTTGGAATAGCTAAAGTGTCCCCCACCCCCGCTATTTTTAACGAGGAATAAATAACTTCTTGATTTCATGTTTCAAAGAGTTACATTATTTAATTCTTTACTTAGCTTTGTAGATTAGTGTATATGTATTCTATCTCTAAATTCCTACATCTAAAAAATCTATAAGATAAGCATGATAATCTCGTCGTGGTGTGTGTGTGTGGTGGGGGTGGGAGTGACAGTTTTTTAAAGCTTACGCCAGTAGGTTAAACACTAAGATACTTTGATAGGTCATTTTTCTTATAAAAATCTAAGGTTCACAACCAGTATTAATAGAAAGATTACACTGATGTATTATAGCGAACTAGGTCTTCTGCAAAGAAATGTAGATGTTACGCTGGCGTATCGAAAAACGTGATGACCACGACCGGATAAACAGCCAATTTTACTAATAACTGACAAAACAAATCTTTGAATAAGAGATTACAGTATATATATATATTACAATTAAGGTTAAGTCATAACATAGATAAGTAGAAAAGCTGCAAAAACTAAGACATAATATACATCAACAAAATTTGAACTGAAACTACATTATGATAAGTATTGAAACCATTTGGTATTTAAACACCTAAAATCAAAAAAATTAGATCATTTTCACAGTTAACAGATCAATCACTTTTCTTCATTGCCAAAAATCAATCGGAGTATGACAAAAAAAGCAACAAAATGATAACATACACACACACACAATAATGCCGATAGCAGACGAAATATATATAAAATAATATATATATATATATATATATATTATGCAAAGCAATAACGGATCATAAGGCCAGCATAGAAGGATCCTTTCCAGTCGTGTATCAAATAAACTGCCAAAAGCCAATGAATACCGAATACTCTAAACAGTAGAAGCCATAGGAATTCGACAAAAACAGACAACCGAAACTTTGAATACAAAAGAAAAAAGTCTAGTCATCTATCGCCACCATGGCTTGTTGTGCAATTCATACAAAATCATAAATACTGTATTGCGTGAGACTTTTCAGGGATCATCGACAAGAGCAAAGGTAAATGAACAATGAACTAGCCACCAACCATGTGGCATTTTGATTATAAGAAGTACATTTACAGGATATAAAGTATGCATAACGTGCGTAGACGTGATATCCGGCTGGCTATCGACCAAAGGGCGGGTGTACTGCTCATCAGTCTGCTCCGTCCTCCTTTATGGCTGTTAGCGAGACATGGCCATTGACAGTGGAAGACATTAAAAGATTAGCTGTCTTTGATTATAGGTGCCTGCGCTCTATCTCCTGTGTGAAGTGGTATAATAAGGTGAGCAATGTTGAGGATATACGTTACGTATACCTAGTCATCGCCTTCCTCGACGAACAATGTTTGCCGACATACGGTCAGGCTGGGAAAGAGCTAGTGGCGGTCAAACCAAAACATGGCACTAGTCAATAAAATCTACAACAGTTAGTTTAAGCCACGTAGGAAGGCGTAGACTTCCTGACTGGTTGGGGTCCTCGGGACGGTAAAAATCAATGGTTGGAAACACTTGGTGACATGGCTCAAAATTGTTCTCAATGGCCGGCGCAGATGCATCCACTCCTTCTGACTTATGATTTCCAATGAAACTGTTTTGTTCTTCGTTATTACTATTCCTTTGTCTCACACCTCTGTTTACTGTCTCTATTTTGCATTTCTTCTACTTTCTTCTCTTGCTTTGTGTGCTACATGGGGTGAAGTGTGGCGACTTGAACTGGTGCACATATGTGCAAAGTTCTATGTCGAAAACAGACAGACAGCATAATAAAAATGTGCTGTAAAAACAGGTCCCTTTTTTAATAGGACTGGTTATAGAGACATATACCGTACTAATCCGTTATTTTGATATGCCTAAAATTCTCCAATACAATTTCTATGAGTACCAGTTTTAGGATCCATTAATACTCATGATGACAGATAGTCACAACGCTTAACATTTCAAATGAATACTGTCCACAATCTTCCTTGAAAGTTTCACCCTAACCCTAACTTTATATACAGGAGACACTGGCTGGTGGTTATTATATACATATATATCGAGAATTAGCAGAAGTTGGAATTCAGCGACCATCGGATCAGGCCTCATTGGCTGAATGGTCTACAACCTCGCCCTGTAATCAGGAAGTCCTGGATTCGAGTCCCAGTAGGGGGGTTATTTTGATGAAGAGTCCTGAACCAGGAATAGACAGTTTTCCAGTAACTCCCTGCATTTTTTCCAATGGTTCTCTAACTGATGTTAACTCGTCATGATGATGAAGCATTTAACCGATCAAATGCATGTAAAACAACACTTGAAAAAGTCAACTGTGTTTATTCTTTTGTACATTTTTCTCTACTCTGACAAAGTTAACTGCCTATTCACATTTTTTATAAAGTATGCCAAGAATTGTCAAAGTGTGACCCACTTGATTAGATGTTTAATTATTATTCACAAGCTAAAAGGAAGCTGACAAAAAAACGACATCCTGTGAAATAAAATGGGCTAATATCTCCGAATGCATTTCACTCTTAACTAGTTTAAATCATTTAATCACAGAGAGAGTCAGTATCGTTACACCTACTACACATAAAACAAGAGAAACGAAGGATTAACAGGCAAAATTTTAAAAAAAATCAGCCCAAGGACAGAGGGAGAGAGGAAAACTATGTGATTATATGTTTCCTGGTAAATATAATAACAATAGTTGGTATTAATAATGATCATAAATACTTACCTGTTCTCTATTCGATTGACATCCACTGGTGGATTTTTTATCAAAACACTTCTAGTTGTATAAATTGTCATTGGATTATTATCATCCGGGGGAGAAGGTTTAGCATCACACGGTTCATTATATATACCTGATGGATTGATGCCAGTTACAATATTTCCACTGGCTTTATTATTACTTCCAGTAGCAATAGTAGGAGTAGTGGTAGTATTGTTATGTTCAATATCAGCTGATTTTTCATAAGAACTAAAATCAATCGGTGGTGGCGTCCTGTCAGATGTCTCTGTCACTTGTTGGTGTTGTTGTTGTTGCGGTTGATGAGGATGCTGATGTTGGTGGTGATGTTGATGTGGATGTTGACGATGTGCATCAATACCACTAGTAAGTGATCCACACTGAAGAGCAGCATCAGACCAAGCAGAAAAGCTATCTGGTGATTTTCTTGAACTTGGATTTGATCGACTTTTAAATCCGCCTAATATAATATCAGCAAATTGTGTCAATGATTCTTCATATTCTTCTTCAACAACATACTATTATTGAAAGGAGATGAAAAAAGCAAAATAGAAAAATAACGATTGAAAGCGTAACACAGAAACAAACAAAAATCAAATTATTCTGTATGATTCACAGACTTGGTAACAGCCTTCGCTGGCTCCAAAGTGAAGATCGATTGGCTAGAAAGAATAAGTAATACCGACCTCTAGCAATGAGCTAACCAACAACAAATATGAAGAAAGAAATGGAAATGCATCGGACACACTCCGAGGATACCATCAGATGATATCACGCATCAGGCAATCCCTCGAGTGGAACCCGAATGAGGAACAGTAAGTTAGGCATCCGACAGCGACATGGAAGAGATAGTGTGGGGAGGAGATAAGAGCTTATCGACAATCATGGAACCAGCTAAAGAGGACTACAGATAACAGGATGAAATGGAGGTGTGCTGTTGAAGCCCTATGGTCCACTCAGAACCCAAGGGAATAATAATTATGGACAGAAAACAAGTCCAAGTCTTAAAAAATGACAATTTAAATGACAATAAGCCTTCTTTGAGTGTTACTTCGCAGTGATTTGATTAGTTTCAAGTTAAATCACTAGCTGACACCGGTTAGAGAACCGCCGAAAACCAGGGAGCATCAGGTAGCTGTGTTGTTCCAACTTGAGACTCTTCATCAGTGCGCACCCATAACTCTAACCGGGGTCGAACCTAGGACTATAAAGTTACTAGGTAAACATATTGACTATTCAACCACTGAGATGAAATTGAAGGGTCTGTGAATTCTAACTTCCGCCAATTTGAGATATACAGAGCAATCGCCAGTCAGTGTCCTCACACCGACCCGGCCCGACCGAAAGCTGCCACCTTGACGTGGTGGTCGGGCTTGAACACCGCAATGACCTAATCAAGCTATACTGGCTGAGACTTATGTCTCTTGAGGTTCTACCATGCCAGGAAGGTTGTTTGGATAGCGGTTAAACAAAAAGCAACTACCCCATCCAATACCATGATTCAAACAAATTCACAAAATTTCATGCCGGATCGGCCGTGGCCCGGATTAACAACGACCGCGCTTCCTGCTGCCCTGTCACAGGGCAGGAGTGATAAGTATGCTACTGAGACACACCAAACAAAAGAGAACAGACAAAAACAGGCCGCGTGTGACCGGCCTCAAGCAGTTGTCCCCTGGGCTCTGCGGTCACGCAACCAACTTCCACGGTGTGGGCAGCCGGGAAGTGACAATCGCCCTCACAATCCAGACAGACAGACACCGACTCGGTGTGTGTGCGTGCGTGTGGAAAAGATGACAACCTACTGGAAAGTATAACGATACATCATCAATCTATTTATGTGAGACGTTTCAATAATCCACTAACTTTCAAAAGAATAGTTACTGAACAAGCAATACTCGTTTCGATAGCTTCATCATCAGGTTCTACAGTTATATATACACATTATAGTGAATGAATGAGTGAATTAGTGTTATGAACAACATTAATGCTGTTTAAATAACATCGAATCAATAATAATATGGATAGATTACAGCTCAATGGCATCAACATAAAAATAAACTGAACGTCACAAAAATTAGGAAAGATAATATTACAAATTCATGAATTTATAGTCTCTACTGAAGGCCGGCCAGGGCAGTAGTAGTGCTGGCTGAACTTGCTTCTTCTACATACAGAGCACTGGTTGTTTCACGCGAATTGCAGTAGCCTCTGCTGTTTGAAGTATGCGGTGCTTCAGTGTTTTAGGCAATTTATTTGGCACTAATTATTAGTTTTTTCTACCAATGAAATTGGTCAGTATGATTACTAAATACGTTACAACTAAATCAATGGCAAAAAAATACACTCTACTAAAATAAAATTCAATCACACATGTAATTTATTCTTTGTGTTTGCATAACTTGTGGAGTTTATGTTTTTGGAGTAGGGGGTGGGGTTAAGTAACAATATAGGTTTCTCAACTGAGTTGTACATTTAAACTGACATCCTGATTAACGAAATTCTTAGTATCATATACTAGTACGTTCAATAAAGATTTAAAGTGATACGATGCAGCCAAGCTCATATTTAAAGCGGAAAGGAAATTTATGTTGTCCTCTAAAACCTTAAGGAATATAAATGCCGGTATCACACAGCATTGTGCATTCCAATTAACATGTACGTGTAGTCATGAATGCACATACATACAGGAAGGAATCATAGGTCTCTCTGAAGCTTAATACTACAAAGCACATTTTTAAATGGCTTCGAGGAAGGATGGAATCATTTAACCTAAATGATAGTACAAACAAATGTTATCTGTAGCATAGCCCATTATAGAGACAAGTGTTAGCGCTTCTCTTAAACGCATATATAAAACATAGATCACACATACTTGAATTTGTTAAAATCCTAGTCGTAATGTGTTTCAGGAAATATTTGGTATCACATAAGACCCAAACTTAACAAAGAAAATTCCACCTCCGTGTCTAAGATATTACACATGGACTTAATGTTCAGAGGTGAATTTTGCGCTAACGTTCTAAAGAAGATAATATCAAAATGCCCTGAAAGGAACACTTTCAGACAGATATTCTCCTGCCGCGCAATGTTCTCCAATAACTTGTAAGACAAACTATCGCATTTGACTACTTCTACGTGTATCTACCGATTCACTTGCTTCAGCGGAATGAGATTTTTTTTGGATTTCAGCTTGATTCCACACCGTATCTTTCGGTACAGGTATGGATTTTTCAGCAAGCGATATCGGTAGCCCAAATTTTTCAGGCCTACCATAGATACCAGGTGTGCGTCGGCAGGGTATCGAACCCCGGACCATGTGCATGGTCGGCGAGAGTCCTAAGCACTGTGCCACCGACGCACGCATTCAATGCGTGCCTCACTGTGAAACAATAATCGAGGAACATTATCCCGCATGCCTGGAGGACGGTCACAATGGGCCATACGGAGTGGTATCTAAGAGAAATTCATTAGCTACAAAGTCAAAAGAAAACACCAGAAAATGGAATGTTTCCGTAAAATACGTTGCACTACTTAAGCCTTAGTCATTTAAATGGATAATACACACAGAAGAAACTGGTCCACACTCATTCCTTCTAACTACCCTAGACAAACTCAACTATTATCAATATTTTGTTATTATATTAATCCTTTCTTGCATTTTTGATGTGACAACTGTTAACATAACTGTTAACAACAATATCGTTTTGTTTTTCATTCATTGGGAAATACAAAAACCTTTATTATAATGAATATCATATACCCAATGCCCAAATTTTTTTCAAACTGTTAAAGGTCAACTTGGTTCGGACATATATAACTGTTAACATCATTTCCTCAAATTACCTTTTCTTCATTCTGTTCATTTGTTACACAACACATGTTTTTTTGATATTTGTCTAAGTGTTCTTTGAATAACACCAAACCTTCTTCCCGACAATTTTTCTTCGTATTACGCAACTTTTAGATTAGATTTATTAATCTTTATTTCATTTAATTACAATGTGATTAGTCTTCACTGTTTTGAAATATGTTGATGATGTAAGCAATAATGTAAACTAATTTATTTTTAATTTTTTTTGCTATGTTTGACAGACGACATGTACATGCATACACACACACACACACACACAAAACTAATTATATGTATTTATGGTTGAATTTGCCGAACAATGCCTCTCTCTTCGCTAAACTGTTCGTCTTTATTTATTTCCATGTCTAGATGGGTATTTTCCGTTTAACAATAATTTAAGCATGACAGATAATTAGGTGAACACTAATCACTTATTATTATGCGATTATATTACGTAATCGTCGGTTAAAATTCAAAAAAAATTAATCAGCACATTAAACTGAATACTGTCCACGCAATCACTATGACGCAACAAATTAAGGCTTTTTAATTTCCCCTTATGGATAAATCACACAGTGTTGTACAGTAATATTAACTGATGACGTTTCGAGCACAAACTATTGCTCATAAACATATTTTTAATTTCACATGTTACGTTACATTTATGAGTAAAATGGAAATCATGATGAATAGACAATAATATTTTTAGTTTTCACAATATACTTTCACTCTGTGTTGATCAGAACTGAAGGAAGTGAAAGTTGACTATATCTGACAAGCACTAAATAAAAGTGTATTGTTCTGAGCGCATACTTAAATATAGATATAAGTTGTACCAGGTTAGATTAATGTCACACTGAGAGATCAACAAAAAGCGAACACGAAAGGTGTACATACATGAGGGGAAAAGTTATGTAGGTTACTAATCTAGAAATGTTTTCACCCCTTAGATGACCGAAGAAAAATATTCAAGTGTTGGTTTGCAGGGATTTGATTGGGGTGTGAGGACAAATACTTGCCACCTGGTTAGTGACCGCGCCATATTGTGAATTGGTAGGAGTTGGAATTCACGAACCGTTGGATTAGGCGTCCCGAAGGCTCAAGTGGTAGAATGCTCACCAACAATAAACATGGTTCGAGTTTGACTCCCCGTATAGACAGTAGTAAACTCAGTAAAAAGGAGAAGAGGTTGGGCGCAAGGGGCTAGCACCCTTTATCCCGTAAAAACAACACAACAGTCGCTGAAATTTCAAAGCTCAAGCGCATGAAGCTCTATGTCCCACTGGGAACACAAAGTGATTGGAAAACAAAGATTACAGATTTATCAGATCGGAACCGTAAAGCGGTAATATGATCAAATATTTATTTGCTTAATTCCCAAAAAAAACACAAGTTTATCTTAGTCAATCTTAATAACTTCATTTCCCAACTAATTTACAATAATCCTCAGCCTAAATGACAAGTAAATTAAAACTTATGTCATTATTATACGTTCCCAGTGGAACATATGGCTTCCAGCTTGAGCTTTGAAGTTGCATTTTGCAGTGGTGTTTCTTTCTACGGGCAGGGGGATTGCTAGCTTCACACCCTACCTCTCCTCTTTATCGGGTCGGCTAACAACCAGCTACCAGAAGAGTGGTATACACCGGCCGGGAATTCAACCCCGGATCACGTTCAGTGATGGACAGGACTCTACCCCTAAATCGTCGATGCACAAATAAAAACTAGCAGGCGAAATTATAGTTAGCAGTTCCAAGTTTTAAAAAAAAACTAAATCTACGCTATCGAACTATAAAAATTCACTGCCAAATCTATCATCTTTCAAAAAATGATACATTGAATTGATTTGGCTAACAAACTAGTAAATATTGTGACACGTGAGTGTTAACTGGTATAATGAATTCACTAAGTCATGTGGTAATCATAGACAGTAGAGTTGTGGAGCCAAAAAATGAAAAGCGAAAAATTGAATGTCTTTGAAGAATAGAAATGCGATGATCACGACCGACAAACACGTATCTCTAATCGTATCATAAATGAATAGTATATATGCACGATAAAAAAAATTTATAAAAAATCAGTCAAGAAAGTGAATTACGAGAATCTCAAATTAATGATGATGAAATGTTGCCAAACAACACTATAAAGTCTATAAACAGTAATGAGTTTAAAACAAATGCGAAACTATCGAATTTAGTAAAATATATTTGCTATAGATTAAATCTAAAATGTAAGTTTATATTTAAGTCTATTACATGAAAGCGGATTGGATGAAGTATACCCTTTTAACTGGGAAAAACAATTATACGCTTGCTTTGATTGGACACTAAATAGTAACTAACGTCATGAGTTTAGTCCTTGATTTTGGTATAGACTGAGTGAAATCAGTAAATTATGCAATGTGGCCACCACCATCCTAGGTAGCTCACCGTCACGGTACACTCGGAACTGTTGTTATTAGACGATTGGAGACAATCGGTAGGGAGCCTCGGACCAACCTAGGTTTCATACTTGTTGGCAATCACCAGTCAGTGAGACGTATCTGCAATCTTGAAGGAACTTATGCCCTTTCTGAGATTCTAATCCGGGTTATTATTCAGTGCTGCATTTAGAGATGTTCCCATTCAGCTGGTCGAACTTGCGATTGACTTCATGCAGGACTGTAACTGATATTTTAATTAAACACTAGGTGATGACGAATACTTCTGATTGCAACACTGAGTGACTCCAGTTCAAATCTCAGGAAGGATACAAGCTCCTTCAAGATTGCAGGTACACCTGACTGAATGATGAGTACCAACAGGGACGAAACTTAGGTCCGAGGCTTCCTATCGATTGCCTTTGACCATCTAAAAATAATTATACTAATTAACTAAGGTGAAAATAAAGGAATTATACTATGTGGACAACACACTCCCCTAGGCGCATACCAGGAAGCGGTGGAGACCCGTCCCATAGGCATCACCTTACATTTACCACGGGTACGCATACCAAAAACACATTCATAGTTATTACAATGATGTTTTAAAAACTGCATCTCTCCAGGCTGTTTGCTTAACAGAGTTAATTTCATTTCTATTATTCAAATCAGTAATGTCTTTTCCCGGTAGTAAGTTAATTCGTAAGGGGACAAAATCAAACACAGTTGTAACCCATGAGAATACTTGCGTTTAAGTGAAACAAAAGTGCTGAAAGTGAATATTTGTGACAGATAATATTGCTAATCTTTGCTCCAAATAACAACTACTCTCCAAGTGAAAATGTCTGACTAGCACATCGTACTTTCATGGTACTCCCTATAAAAATCTTAACATCACTACGACTTTTGACCAAGAGATTGAAAATCCACCGTTAGATTAATAAGTATGGTGAATATCCAAAGTTGCTAAATACGAGACTGAAACCTGCCTTTTTAAGTCAAGTTTGCTGTTCACAAGGTTTGTTTACCCTGCCAATTATTCGACTTTATAATTTTAAATATAACCCCTTGCAGTGATAACAGAAGGATTTTCACCACTTTTGATGTAATAGAACGGACAATGAGTATCCACTTCTGTAATAAGCCCATTACTATAATCCAGACGTTCACAGTATATTGAGGCCAGATTAGTAACCACACTGTGACTATCAAATATATGTTCACGCGAATGAAGATTATTCACCAAAATCTAAGAAAATCTATCTCAAAAACAGGTGTAGGGATTCGAAGCTACGAAAAACAGTTAATCAATGTTTAATATGAATTTTGATCAGGAAGATTCGACTAATTTTGTAGAAATTGGATGTAGAGTGGGAATTAGCCACAGATAAAAGTAAAAATATCAGTAGCACTGATGTAAGTCATTCTACCGTATTATTTAGCAAACTAGTTCAAACTTCTTCGGGGAGATTGTTAGAAACCAAAATACCATTCACTCTATTTAATCATGCTCATGTCATAAGTAGTTTTATGTGTGGAAGTAAATGCTACTTAAAGTTGATTTGCATTTACATAAGGTTGGCAATGAGCCATACCTAATGCGTAACCCCTAATGATACTAATTGGCTTTCCGAACTAGTTAGATTAAATGAGGTTTAAGCTCATGACCTATTGACAGAAAATTAAAGGCCGAAACCAGCGCACCACATCTTTATGCTAAATGTGAAAAAATGTGCGTACATGTGTACCTTGCACTACACTGTAATGTCTGATTGACTAACTAACTAGTAGTTCGCACAAAAGTGCAACAGTTCAACTTGTCACACAAAGAGAGACAAAAGAAAGCAAAAAAGATATTCGAAAGAACGATAATCACCGAAAATGTACGGGGGAAAGAATAGTAACATGGAAAAACAATACGGTTTTATTAGATATGAAAGACTGCAAAGAGTGACTGCATCTGAACCTATTAAGAAATATATAAGATTTGCATATGCCGTGATTCTTTTTATAAAACTTACTTCTGAATTAGGACTAGCCTGATCACTACCACAAGCAGGATTACGAAATTCTGTAGTAGTGATTATCGGTGAATCAGAACAGTCGAATGGGACAGAAGCGGTTAAACGTCGTCTATAATCAGGTGAATAGGAATGTGGTGATGAAGAGGCTGAATTTCTAATATTTGCATTGATTTCCATCTACAAAGAGAGGAAAAACAAAAATACAAAAGAAAGATTATTCCAACAAATAATAATGCATGATAAGGGTGTTATTACATAATCGAGAAATCTGTAAAATAATGATGAATAAGTAGAATTACGTAAGACTACCAGGATACGAACAAGTTAACTGAATTAGCTAAAATAGTAATCATAACAAAATAACAGTGCCAAACGATAATTACAAGGGGAGGGGGAAATCATTTGTAAAAATTCATTCATATTTTTTAGTCCAGTATGGTACAGATAGGGACTGCACAGATTTCTTTTGAACATACAGATTTAGTTTGTTCCGATGAATTCTCATTGCCTCTGCTGCAGGTAAAAGTAGTGAGCGTAGGGCATGCTAAGGGTTGAGTAAAACACCATAAATGTTTGTTTGTCAGAACTCAGTTATCTAGTAGTAGGCTATAAGCCACGCGCGTATTGTGTACGGGCTAACTATACTACCCAGTTAGCCAAGGTGAAGTAGACGGAGAGGAACTCGGACCCGAGACCCATTGAAAATCAAATGCTTAAACCGCATCTCCACGGAACACCATAAATGAGCTTTTTTAGTGTCAACCTGATGCCCAGTATAGACAAAATGAGTTAGTGTTAAGCTGCCTATAGCTTTATTCGGACGTTTGCCTAACCGAGATGAGAGGTGTTCAATAATTCAACCAACGATGAACTTGCCTGATGATTGCACACCTGATGTAACAGACAGTTAACATGAACTTTTATGAATCCTTATTAGAATACGAATACATGATTGATTTATATTGCGTCAAGTTGATAGACACTATTTAGTTTCTTTTCCTTTTCCCGATAATAAATCTCAGATGGTACACTCAAAACGTGGAGGTAGAAACTTTCAGTCTTAGCACCAGTTAACACAGCGCCTAACACACACACACACACAAAGCGCTGTTATGTGTAATAGGAAGTGAAGCGGTTGAGCACATTGACCGCTTCACTTATTTGGGAAGTACCATTAGCCAATGCCAACGGGTTGATCTCTGACGAAATCTCAGCACGAATACAGGGGGCTATTTCCGCATTTGCCAGTTTACGCCGACTCTGGCGTAGACGTGATATCCAACTATCGACCAAAGGGCGGGTGTACTGCTCATCAGTCCGCTCCGTCCTCCTTTATGGCCAACTGTGAGACCTGGCCACTGAGAGTGAAAGACATGAAAAGCCTAGCTGTCTTTGATCATAGGTGCCTCCGCTCTATTTCCCGTGTAAAGTGGCATAATAAGGTGAGCGATATTGAGGTTAGGCGTAGAGTTCTAGGTAAACAGGGGAAATCAATCGACGAAGTCGTGAAGCTACAAAGACTGAGATGGTTAGGACATGTGTTACGTATGCCAAGCCATCGCCTCCCTCGACGAGCAATGTTAGCGGACATAGGTTCAGGCTGGAAGAAAGCTAGCGGCGGTCAAACAAAAACATGACACCATTCAATGAAATCCACAACAGTTAGTCTAAGCCACGTAGGAAGGTGTAGACTTCCAGGCTGGAGCCCTCGGGACGGTAAAAACCAATGGCTGGAGACAATTGGTGATATGGCTCAAAATTGTTCTCAATGGCCGGCGCAGATGCATCCACTCCTTCTGACTTATGATTTCCAATGGAACTATTTTGTTCTTCGTTATTACTATTCCTTTGTCTCACACCTCTGTTTACTGTCTCTATTTTGCATTTCTTCTACTTTCTTCTCTTGCTTTGTGTGCTTCATGGGGTGGGGTGTGGCGACTTGAACTACCGCACATATGTGCAAAGTTCTATGTCGAAAACAGACAGTTATACGTAATAAATATTTAACGAAAAGACAAGGACAGGTAGTTCAGCAAAGAGGCTCTTTCCGACGATTACTCTTTTTTAGGCTATACAATCGTATTCATGTGCAATTTCCTGATAAAAGACGACAGTAACAAAGGAGGTGATGACGAAGAAACCAGATCTCTGCATCCAAACGCTTATACCATAATGAACACCAAGTTGTTTCCTAAAAACTTGATTACAATTCTTTCAATATATTATTTGTCTCAATGTGTAACTCTAACACCCCCTAATCATCTCCTCTTATATATTGATTAATATTAATAACTATGATTACGATAACTCATTACTTTTGCAGGGAGAAACCGTACATAATTGCGATTGTACAGCTTAAGAAAGTGAAATCGCTGAAGAACGTCTTCACTAAGCTACTTTGTTGTTGTTGCTGTTTTTCATTAATGTCTAGATGGGGATTATTCGTGTATCAGTAAGTATTTCTAACAAAGACATAAGAATGGCATTATATAACATTATTTAGATGTGCTTTAGTTGGGGTTCTCCAAGTTTATAATATAACCCGAAAAGAGTCAGTGAAGAGAGGTAGAATGAATGATACTGCAGAAATAAACAAAGCAGATAATGAGTGTATTATTGTGAAGTGTTTATTTTTCGATAAGTACTTGGTTATTTTGCTAACATCATGCTAAGATTCTGTTAACAACAAGTCCACTAGGTGTACAGTGGTCAATATTTAGGGCATAACCAGTACAAATGAATATTAAAAAATTCACCATACATTTTATAAATGTAAATATATATTGGGGTGTACAGATATTATTATTTGTCAGCATTATTACCAAAGTCAACTGAAATTTACGATTACAGAAATTCAAATACGACACAAGTGGGCGATAGTACGAAAATAAGGGATATTTTATATTTCGCTAGTTTCCTAAAAGAAGTAATTACTGCTTCACTATTATCAACAACATGTCCAGAAGTGTATTGAGCTTTTAACTAATTACGAGCATTTTGCTCGTCACTATAGAATCTTATATAATTAATAGTATACTTCTTGTGAACCTAGTACGGCCTAGGTTGAGTAGACTTCGGTCTCCTTCTCGAAATGCACTCACACGTAGACACGTGTCCATAGCCTCTACAAGGCAAGTCCTATTCACTCAGTTCACGCAGCAAGGGTGTTCCTCACAAATGTGAAAGACAGAATGGGAACGTCTGGTTTTACAACGAGACTGGTGCACACGCCACCTAGGGGAGCTGGAAAACTCCGATTCCAAAACTATAGTGTATGTGGGCTTCAGAATCTGCAAGGAGTGAATGGCATATAAACCTGTCTTGGTCACAGGAAACCATGGGAACGTATCTCCTGAAGCTGCTTCATTGCCTTGCGGACCACACTTTCTGTTAAACGTTCGGATATGGCTTCTCGAAGCAACCGCCTCCGTCGGTATGGGTGTCCGGGAGATATCCCAGCCCTCATACACACTATGAGACTTTGTGTGGTGCGTCTCTTATTACCCATAATGTGCCTGGTTTGTGCTTTCATAAATAAAATAGGTTTCACTCAAGAACTAAGATTCATATGTAAAACGGCGAAAGAGAATTGCATATATATATGATGACAATGATGTATTGATTTGGCATACACACATCACTTTTTAAAATGCATTGTTTCTTAAACAAAGTTGAAATTAAAATGATATGCATCAATTCAACTCACCATATCATCGTGCACAGATTTACGTTGTTCTTCATTTGGTGCTTCAGTAGATTTACTTGCAAAAGATTTTGAAAGAAATAATAAACTTGGAGAGAAACGACTACGATCTAATAACTTTTTCAGACTATATCTTCCTTTTTTAGATTTTTCTTTAACATCTGATGAATTCGATGTCTTGTCCTTCATATCTGATTTGACAGGTATAACCTTTATCTTGACACAATAGTCTTTTATTTTATATATTTATACTTTCTGTACTTATACATACATGTACTTGCACTTTAGAAGTACTTTTTTGAACAACCACTTTTGAACTACCTAAACCTGAATACGGAAAAAAAGAACATTGATACAACATTTGTTTAAAAAAATTTAAATGAGTTTTTTACACACATACAAGTAAGCAATATAAACAGTTTATCTACATGAATTTGTCTTGCATACTTAATAAAAAGCCAGTTAAACTCTTAAATGACAAAAAACTTGAGTATAAACATCTAAAGTTTAAGTTACTGATAGTGTGGATGAGTTTCAAAGTAGAACATCTTGTAAAAATGTAGTACTCCAAGTTGCCAAACTTCATGCATCCCACAGAGATAAGTAAAAGAAGAAAAGAATATGAAGGGACGATAATGAGCGAAAAAGTAGGGAATGAAGAATAATTACATTTAGAATAATGACAACTTAGTGGACCTGGGAGTTTATAAAAGTGAATGCATCTGATTCATTGAGAACGACTTTAAGTCATATCACCAATATTACCAAGTCATTAGTACTTAGCATCCCAAACCAAGCGGTCTACACCTCTTTACGTGGCTCAAACCAACTGTCAAAAACTTCATCGATTGATTCCAAGTTTCCATTTGAACCCCCCCCCTGATCCTTTCCCAACCTAATCCTGTCAATTAAAGTCGCTTGACGAGGAAGGCGTTGAGTTAGAATGCATAACACGTGTCCTACCCATCTAAATCAACGCAACTTCACAACCGCATCGACCAACTTTCCCTTTTCATCAAAAACTATGACTAACCTTAATTTTACTCACTGAATTGTACCACTTAACACGAGAGACAAAACGCAAACACATATGGCCAAAGGCAGCTAGCCTCTTCAGGATTTCAACTTTTAAAGGCTATGCCTCACAGCCATAAAAGGACAGGAAGAGCTGCTGCGCAGCAATACACACGTCCTTTGATCAACAGCCGGATATCATGTTCACGCCAGAAGTCATCTAAGTTTGCAAATGCCACACGAGCCGTTTGCATCTGTGCTGAAGTTTCGACAGCAATCAGTCACTCAGGGCTGAAGCAATTCCCAAACAGTGAAGTGGTCAATATGCTCAATCACTCCACTCCGTATTTTTAAACTGAGATGGTGCAAATCAGTCTTCCACTACCATCTTATATTTGACGGCAGCGAATCACATGTCAAACTTTTCAGGATTTCTACTTAGAGTATGCGAAAGACTCTTCACTTTGCTCAGCGTCTTCACCTAGAAGGAAAATATTATCTGTATACTTTAAGTCAACGAGTTTTTACCGTGCCCAAGTTGCTAAAATAGATTGGGAATATATCCAGCAGTACATCTGCGACGAACGGGGACAGTGAAGTTCCCTGAGGGTTACCACTGACTGTTGTCACTTTAAATAACTACTCCCCATAAGCTCTAACACAGCTGAGTGAGTGCCTTGAATAGCTCGACATAATTTCTCGTCACTCTACCGCCAAACATTACCACAGCACCTCCCAGTTGACGGAGTCAAATGCCGATGAGGCCAAGAAATTTGGCAAGTGTTGGACGTGGAAAGTATGTAGCAGCTACCAGTTGGGTTCCTGAGTCCAACTATGATTCTGATTCCAATTTATGATACTTATTTCAGGCTACACAAAGACAATTCCAAAGAAGATTTTCTGGCCAGGATTATTCCTTCAGAGTGTGCCTCCTACTTTGAAAGTTAGGTCCATCTATATTAAATCAATAAACAGTTCTGTAGCAAAAGCAATGCGATTGCACGTTTCACTACCCCGACCGAAAGTTACTAACTTGACGTGGTGGTCGGGTTTGAACACCGCAATGACCGAATCAGGCTATACTGGCTGAGACTTATGTCCCTTGTCTGTCTGTCTGGATTTAACATAGAACTTGGCATCGAAGTGCAGCACTTCGAGTTGCCACGTTCCAAATACCACACAGAAGTAGACAAGAAGATGAGTGAAGAGAATCAATACAGTCTGACAAGTATAAGAGTGAAACAGAATGGGTAATGGTAGAAAGGAATATGAAGGATTACAGAGACTGAATACATCTGCGCCATTGACAACGATTTTGAGCCATGTCACCTATAGTCTCCAGCCATTGATTCCTAGAGTCAGTCCGGCATATCCTAGCCATCTTAGTCAATACAGCTTTACAACTCTAACAATTGATATTCCCTTCTTACCAATGACTAGTTTTGAAGAGCGATTTCCTATCAATTGGAGGCGTTGCACTGTCATAAGAACAAAGTCAAATTAATTCGCAGCGACTTTGCATGGAGGAATTCACAGGAGACTTCTCAATACCGCCACCTGACTTCAAAGAAATGACGAGCAAGGAGGAATCCACTTTGTTTAGACCAACTATTATTAAATATGCAACTTCTAACAGTCATATAACAGTAAACACACCCTGCGTGGCGCAATATGTGCGAGCATTTTCTGATTAAGTGACACGGTTTCTCACTCTTTAAAACGAAATACAAAAGTGTATAAACTCACTTCACATAGCATATACATATTAGCTCAGAATCTATTGAATAAGCACTTGAATCAAACATTTCAAAAGTTGAGAGTCATGAAACGCCTTTATCGTTCTACTTGCTTTAGATTAGAAACCGTAGAATCATTTAATCAAGAAAATCTGAGTGTTAGCAATTAAGGCGCACTATAGGATCTACTACAATCTTCGAAAATAATACTCTGTTATGCCTCAGATTCTGAAAGGTCTACTCCCTACTGTTTTCCTATCTTACAAACGACTCAACTACATTTATGAGAAGTCTAGGTATCCCCGTGAATGTACCCAAAAAATCCCCAAAACCTGTACCCATCTACACAGCATGGGATACGAGGAGGCGAAATTTAACGTCAACAGAGTCATTTAAGAGAGATGTATCTGAATAGAAGTCAAACAGACATCTTTATTCTACGCACAAAAAAAAGAAATGTGGAATGCAACGGAGAACAGGCCGCATAAGTACACAATATATTGCCTTCAGTTGTTATTTATACATAGGAATGTTAATGACAGAAACAAACCATTATTAATAACAATCCACAAAAACAAGATAACGAAACTGTTAATAATGTTATTTTCTGTAGGCCCCAATGCAATAGTTTGAAGACGAAATCACGAGAAAACTTAGGAGACTAACTTCACACAAAACAAGCGTGACGTACCGCACAAATAAATGCCACTGTTGCTAAATGGTTCCAATGACGTCCGTTAGAAAATCTCTGTTTGCACTAAATATTACACTTTCTTCGGTCCGTAACTCAATCTTCGAATCGAAATCTACTCCTACCAGGTCGGAACATGCTATAATCCCAAATCCAAGCTGGATAATCTCATGTACAGAGTGGTATTTAATTTATAACTCCTGACCTTGAATTAATCTAGTATACTACGACTTCGTTGATGAACTCCAATGAATTTTGCATGAATAGTTGCTCGTGTGCTAGACTCTGAGCACCTTCAACTTTTAAAAGTGGAATTCTGCATTTACTCATGGAGAATTTATTAAAGTAACTGAAATCTGGAGAGATTTCGCAGATAGCAACTATTAAAAGGTCCCACAAGTGATCATAATAATTAAAAGTGTGATATGGGGCCATACATTAGAAAATTTATGGATTATTCTGGACAAAGAAAATGTCATAAGTCGACTAACTATTTCGCTGACCAGAAACCTGAAACATGTATAATAATCTGAAGAAGTCTACGTGTAGACTATGCATATGCATTTATCCATAAGGCTCGGTAGCCGTACTCGTGTATTTAAAAATTAAAACGGACTTCCGACAGCCGCACAGAAGATTTCATGTATACGAACTGGCAAATATGCAACTGTAGTAGTTGCTGAAGGTAGAAATGATATAATTCTCCAATTAAATTCCAAAAGAAATCCTAAAGAACTCACATCTCATACCATAACGTTTGCAAGTTATAAACTTGATAATGGTTCGCAGGTAACTGGTGGCTGCATTGCTGTCATTTGTGAACACTGAAACGAGGAACTCAGATGTTGTCATCGACCCTGCGATTCAGTAAATTCATCCCTAGTGCAGACAGGTTTTTCCCGAATCGGACATAGCTATGATAATAGGAGAGACTGATTTTGTTTTCCAAATTTTTCAGCTACTGTTACAATTTACATTATCGAAGTCAGTTGAAAGTATTTCTGAATGCGGATGTATGAAACAAAGTCATGTCCACATAAAATTAGCCTCTTCGTCAGTAATGAATTCCGAATGATATGCAACGACATTTTATGAAATATTCGTCCCTAATTTAATCACCGTAGACGTATTCATTTTAAATGGGTGCTAAGCAATTAGTATAGTTCCGGAATCGATTTCACAGGCCAACATATTGATTTTAATTTCTTAAACATAATGGAACAGACATATGATGTGATGTAAGAAACTAGCGAATACAATATTGTCAGACCCCGAGCATCCTATCTATACGCAGCTCTCTCCTTGCATTTCATTTGGTAGAACTAGAAGCAGCTATAGGAGGCTGTATGCTAGGACTACCAAGTACAAAATCTCCACAACACTATATCTGGCACAGCTGTTATGGGATGAGAAATCCGTTAGGTATGACACGATTAACTTAGTGCGGCACTCTAACAAATAGTCCCATTAGCTTTTTTTCCTTTCCTCGTTACTGATACACTGTTGTTCTTGTCTTCTATCACACATCAACTTTATACTTCCTATCCTGTGGTGCACTGTTTAAAATGTAAACGCGACGCTGTTTCTTTTTCTTTTTATTTATCTCTTTTTTGGGATGTTGCTTTTTGATTTTAAAATCTTATAAAATGTATGAGGTATTTAGATGGAATATACTGTATTGCACGCTGAAAATTCTATACCTTTACTACAAATACTGTTTGGAATAAAGCTGTTATTATCCTTATTAATCAGAAGATGAAATTTCTCATTGCTATTCGGAGCCTCTTTGCTTTTTTTACTGCTGTTATTCAGAGAGTAGACAACATGCCACGAGGGAGTATCCATTTCACCAGAGTTGTATTGTTTTCTCATGATAAAATTGACGTAATCATAATGAATCCGCTATTTTGACTGCCCCTCGATACATGTTATTAGGGGAGCAAACAGCCGACATTTGGCCCAAATTCAGCGCAATTTGTTGACTGTGATCACCAAACAGGCGTCAACGAAGCCTCCAGATCTTCCCATTCTGATACAAGCAATCTTAATAACGCCCTCAAAAATCGACTAACATGGAGTTTCATTTGGTAGAAATAATTTGAACTTATTAACTCTTTATTCTGGCACATTAAACAAAACGGTGGCTTTTCAGAATACGAATATGACTAAGTTTAAAGGGTGTGAACAAATTAGTCTGTGTATTTTTCCAGCTTCCTTTCAATATTATGCACTTATTAGTGTCATTTTAAAACGTGTCGTCCGTCGCGAAACGTACGAATAGGCTAGGACTAGATTTTAGTTGTATCTGTAGAAGTTAAGTAGTAGATTTCCACAAATGAACAAATGATTTGTATCCACCATATGACAATAATTTATATTTCATATAAAAATATGTATTTACATGAAAATGCATGTCATTTTTACAGGCACGATCAAGTATGATATAGTCTCATATCGTAAATTGTCTACAAGTTAATGATGTTTCAACAGCTAAATATTTGATATATATATATAAATACACTGATTGTCTGAACCAGGCCGTATAGTTATTGAATTGTACATTTGTCCTCCAGGTTGCGCGGGAAAATCGACTTCGTTTCGTTCTCATCCCGTGGTTGTAGACATACGATAACCAACCAATTTTGAGGTAAGTACAACGTTTACATGGGATTGAAAGCTGTTTTAGAAGAGTTAAAGTGCTAAGGTGAATCATTAAAGTGTAATAAAATAAGTAAGTGCAATATATAATTGATAAATACGTTTATATAGGAAATAGAATGGGAAAGTAATTAATCCCTACGCTGACAACGTTCATTTGCAATCTATAATGCTACCCATATATGTCTTACTATCATGATGTCCACTCTTGGTTGTAATGCGGTTATTTTCAAGCCAGTTTTTATTTCATACCTTTTTGTCTGTTCGGTGCACAACCGTACCCTACGGAGAATAGGAATAGAATAAGCCGAATCAAATTCATAAAGAGCAATAAAACGTTAGGTTTAATGGAACATAATGAAGATCAAGTGAAGAGGTTATTAGAAAATGAATGAGATAAGGCATTGTGAAGCGGTATCCAAAGATCCGACAATGGATAGAAAGTTAATCTATAAGATGCCCCATAAATCTGTGCAGAGCCCACTTGGTCGCATCTCAACAATAGGCTGAGCGAATGGTGTGTATTTAAAGGTAGAAGCATGATCTGTCAAGGCGTTCATTATTATCTTTTTCAAGATAAAGATCTAAGCCCTCAGAAAAATCCTCGAGCCGTCAAATTGCATATTGTTGTTCCTGCAGAATGGGCCGATTCACCTTTGTGACCATCACCATATCTACTGATCAGCTAGCCCCACCCTCCCCCCTTTATGATAAAATAATGAGAAAATAAGGGCATCTTAATAAGTAAATATCTAATTATTTTGTTGGATTTAACATATACGGTCATAGGGAGGCTTTTTACTTGTATTGCGGGATGCAATATAAAAAAACTGATGTGTCTGAACGGAGAAAATGAATACCATAAACGAATAGGTTTGTTGAATCGTACCACTTAGTTATGTGATATAAGTGTGAAGACATTCTGGTAATCTCACGTTTCGTCAAGGACGCGTTTTCTTTGATAGCTCGACAAAAGGTTTGGTGGCTTTCTCCATGCTAGTGATTTCTTCGAGAACCAAAGAATATTCGGTTACTTGTTTATTATAGGGAATGCCCAGATCTGGTCTAATAGGATTACCTTCTAAATAGGCCGGTTTCAGACTGTCGATGCTAACAGTGTCTTTGCGGCCTTTTTTGTCTGAGATAGTGAATTTATTCATACGTTTAATGACTTTATATGCTCCGTCGTATGGGATTCCAGAGGGCGACGCACAGAGTCATGACGAACAAATACATGTGAAGAAGTTTTCATACACGGGTGAACAAAGACGCCTGTCAGCCACGTCTCGTAAACCGTTAATGCCCAGCTCTTGCTACGCTCGGGCTCACGCTGTCGCTTGAAGTTTCTCAGAAACGCTTAGTAATAACGGACGAAAAAACCAAAACACCAATTGTTGACTCGAGGATTCTTTATTGTTACACCAACATATAAATCACGTATGACTAAGGTCTGTGAACAAATATTACAATAATAAATCACAATATTACTTCTGACGGTTTTCTACTGACTTCTTTCTGAACAGCGACCGATGAGACGATGACTGTCGTATTGATGCCTCCGCGAAAATTGGGGAAGTTGGTTTTGAGCAAACAACCATGAATTGATCGTTCAATCTTCAACTACATTGACACTCCCCAGCAAAAAAGGGATCCAACCCCTTTTCTCCATCACGACCAATACACGTTGACTTGGATGCCATTGCGAGAACCTAGGTCACGCGGACAGAGCTGAAATGGAAAACAAACAGAAAAGCCAACACACCTCAAGCATACTCACAGCACAATCTCACACATCAATGACGACCTGCGCCTTCCAGTTAAAGGCATCCTCTTGCAGCACAATCGCCACTTGCTAGAATGACTCTTACAGAATGCAACGTGACCATGGCAGCACCTCACGATACTCTACGCTCGTCCTCTTATCTGCTCACTACCAATTACCACTGAAATCGCTTGTCACTCATTCTGCCTCAATTCTAGTAACGATGACGTATGCGAGCCTCAGTCGTTTACACTCTTTCTCCCCGGCATGTGGGACCACAGCTAACAATTATCTCCGTGTGCATTTCATTCTCAGCAATAGCCTAGCCTCCCCGGCGTATACGACCCATCTGCTGTCCTTAACATCAATCAGTTCACTCATGGATGTAGAAGACTCGAAACAACTTCAGAAGTAATCACGACGAAAATTTTAACAAAATTACGCAATAACAACAAGATACGAAAACAACAAGTAAACACAATGAATCCAAAAACATCAATTAATATGACACAACACACATATATACAAACAGTACACAAAAACTCGCAGTTCATGTCTTGATGGAATTCCTTTGAAGAATCGCAGGACTTACACCAGTACGCCTACAACCCTTCTCACGTTGACGATTGTAAGTTGTGGAATGTCCGGACACAAACAAGATTAACCAACAATTACAGTAAGTGGAACTCACACAATTATTTAACACAAACATATGTACAATCACTACATCAAATGTTGTGGATTCTGGCACGAAAAACTACCCTTGAAGAACTGTAG